TTTTGGTTTTTAAATCTAAATCTACAAATAATAAATAAAAAAGATGATATATGTCGGTTGGTTTTTGTTTTCAAAAACAGATATAGATGTAACAATACAGAGACATACAATCTCTACTACTGCTTTGTTTATGATTTTGGTGGTTTGAATTATTTTTATACTTTAAGAACCACAAATTGTAATACTTTATGTGGATGAAGCATGCTATGATTGTAATATGTGGATGAGACATGCAATGATTGTAATATTCTAAAGTTTCAAACTTTTTTTTCTTTGGATGAGGCATGCAGTGATTGTAATACTTTTTTAAGTCAATGAATTCAATATATTTTTTTTTTTTTTGAGGAAGTGAACAAGTTGAATTATGTTGAAAATTTATAAAATTTTAAACTGCCAAACCAATTCGCATTCATCCGCCAATTTGCTCAATCCACATCCCCCGGATTGGCGGACGGATGCGGATTGATTTTCTCCAATCCGCCAATCTAACGGACAGATGATAGATTGGTGGTTTTGTGGCCGTAACCGATCTGCGCCCACCCCTGTTACTCATACTCCTTTTATGGATGTCAATTCGAACTCACTTTGATGATCCAAACAGTCTACTTCAATTTCATAGTAAAGGTTAGCCATATAAAAAATTAGATTTATCAAATAACTATAAACACAGAAACAAATTACATTTTGTTTTACAAAATGAATGGTTTAAGTTTAGAATCTTATTTGCTATATAAAATAAAGGGATATTTACCAATAAATCCCATCTCATAAACAAGTAGTCCAATTAGTCCTACGTTTTTTCTATTGATCTATTAAGTTCTATTAGTGGAGATTTTCTTTCCATGTGGTCATATTTTCGATTTTGGTAGTATTTTGGTGGATGACTATACCCTTTTATTAATGTGGCAGGTATGATGTGGCATTCCAATGTGGCATGCATTATTATGACACTTCAACGTAGTAGGTAGGATGTGACACTTTAAATCTTTTACTCAAAAAAAACTAAAAAATCCTTTGTGTATTTCTTTTCCAAATGTGACAACGTGGATGATATAATGTGACACTCCAAAAAAATTAAAAAAAAATTAGTGTACTTTTTTCAAATGTGACAACGTGATGGGTATGATGTGACACTCCAAAAAAACTAAAAACTTATTAGTGTATTTTGCTAAATGTGACAATGTGGCCTAAATGTGACAATGTGAGGGGTATGATGTGACACTCCAAAAAAACTAAAAACTCATTAGTGTACTTTTTCCAAATGTAACAATGTGACAAGTGTGATATGATATTCCAAAAAAACTAAAAACTCATTAGTGTACTTTTTCCAAATGTAACAATGTGACAGTTATGATGTGGCACTAAAAAAAACTAAAAATTCATTAGTGCACTTTTCTCAAACGTGACATATGACACTCTAATGTGGCAGATATGATATGATACTAAAAAAAAATTAAAAACTCTTTAATATACTTTTCTCAAATGTGACACTCCAACGTAGCGGGTATGATGTGACACTAAAAGCTCCTTAGTATACTTTTTTTAAATGTGAACACTCTAATATGGTGGGTAAATAAGTCATTACACATTAAAAAAAGGACTAAATAGATCACAAGAAAAAATATGGGACTATATGGATTACAAGTCCAAAATATAGGACTTATTGGCTAATTTTCCTAAAATAAAATGTGATTTGTTCTTATGTTTATAAATGTTCAATAAAATTGATTTTTTACATGGATGACCTTTATTATGGAACTTACAAAGTAGACAGTTCAGATCATTCTGAATTTGGGTCCACAAGAAGAGTATGAATGAATATGAAGAGATGCAAATATGGAGAAGCTTATCCCCATCCAGCAAGATTCGATTATGTATAAAAGACATACATGGTACCTAGCACTGCTAAAAAGGTATAGGGTAATCATTTACATATCTAAGTTTATTGTACTCCAAATCAATTTATGTAAGCATCATAGGCCATATTTGTTTGGCTTTTTGGGATAAGGATCACTTTTACCGCTTGAGCGATGCTCTTAAAAGGCGATGCTCACATATAGGCCAGCCGTACTTAATCAGCAAAGTGGCAAATAAAGAATGCTCAAGTCAAGATTGGAATGTCAAGACATACTCTTCTACACAAGCATAATTCGGGTTAGATTCGTATCTAAACTCTTATTACTCACACATACGATAGAGCGAATAAAAATACAATTGAATAGAGTTTTGTCCAGGGGGATTGTCAATTACAAAAAAACCTAACAATGTGTAAGAGAGATGATTGGTTGGTATTTAGAAAAAAATATGAAAGATACAATTATCTTACATATTATGATTGTTACATTATTTGAATTTAAAAAGCAAATCTAACTTTTTAATTAAAAAAAACTCTCATTTTATTTTTTAAAATATATTTGGTAATTGTTAAACTGACAACAAATAAATCATGCTACTGGAGTAGGAGAGCTGGGATCCTTGTTGTGTCTTAAGGCAGAATAGAGAGCCTAGACTATTATGTATATAGTGAACACACTTGAAAACTAAAATTTTATTTGAAAACAATTAGTGAAAAGAGTTGAAACTTTTTCTCTCTAGATGGGAGATACGACCATTAGAGAAAGCTAGTGTTTCCATGGAAACTCCACTGAAGAGATTAATCTTTTTATTCATAGCAACAAGAAAATTAAGGGTATGACAGGCGTTGAAGATGAGAGTATGGAAGAAAGCCCCATGTTTGAGATGGGAATGAAACTTCCTTCCCAAGATCAAGTACCAGATCAGATGATGGCTGAATCTTTTGAAGCCCTAGCTTCTGTAGATGTACAATTAGGGCCATCTGAGGGAATCGCGAAGGGACAAACTACTAGTAATTCATCTGCGACAGTGGTAGAGGTAAACCCAAGATCGTTCAAACAAGCTTTTCTTCACTTTCGATTCAATGAAAATATGAATGAAAAGAACTTTGAATGCGGAATGGACGATCCCATATCTGAAGATGAGGTGGAAGAAATGGATGAGTTGGGAGTGGAAGAATTGAACTCTGATAAAGAGTTCAAGGGTGTCCCAAGAGTTAGGTTACCCTTGGGGTTACTTCGAAAAGTAAGGAAAACCATGGGGAAAATGCCTCATCGTGAGGTTACTGGGGAAAAATATAGGATACAAATTGTTCACTCTTAAAGTGAAACAATTATGGGGTTTGCAGGGTGATTTTGAAGCCTTGGATATAGACTGTGGATTTTTTATTTTTAAATTTGACATGCCGGAAGACTACACTAAAGCTTTTATGGGTGAACCTTGGATTATTATGGACCACTACGTAACAGTAAGGAAATGGTAACCAGATTATAAACCAGATCAAGCTAAGGCAGATACAACTGCAATTTGGGTGCGATTTCCTAATCTTCCTATAGAGTATTAAAATGAGAGGGTACTGTTCCACATAGCAAAAGTTCTTGGTGTTCCACTGAAGGTAGATATCAACACAACAATGGCGACGATGGGAAATCATGCAAGAGTTTGTGTAGAAATGGACCTACGGAAACCACTGATCTCCCACTTCTCCATTGGTAAGTATAAATATAAAATAGAATATGAACATATTCACTCATTCTATTTTTTGTGTGGTAGGATTGGTCACCAAAGGGAAAATTGCGTCGATAAACCAACATCGGTACTGGAGAAGCCAACACTAAATGATACCGTTGAGACAGAAGAAAACCAGATAGGACCAGGCCCATCAGACATAACAAGCCGAGAGAAGGAAACTAACAAAATAGAGGAAGAATGCCCAGGTTTCGGCCCATGGACAAAAGCCCCTAGCAGAAGGCAAAGAGTTAATAATGGTAAGGCCCAAAAGGCTATAATTGGCCAACAATCCAACAAATTTGAAGTTCTTCAGGAAGAACAAAGTCAGTCTGAAAGCCAAGAAGCTCAGTTAGGGCAGGAGATACAAGGCCCAAGCCCAAGTCAAAATGAAAATAACTTTAGATATAAGGCAAGGGCCCAAGATCCAAAAGAAAAAAGGCTCCAAAATAGAGCAAGTAACACTTCAGCAAAGGATAATACCAAAGAGGAAATCTGGAGAGGAAAGAAACCAGTGAATGAAAGTTTGTCAAGGACTAAGAGTGTCATCAGAAAGTTTGAAAAGAAAGTTGTGAGTTCCTAGATGCCAGAGCCAGAAACATTCCATCTCCTTACACCCCCAATTACCCCATTCATACTCCTACATTTACACCCAACTCCACCTCCATCACCCACACTAGTATTAACCCTAACCCTAAAGTTATTTCTACCCCAGCATCTCAAAACAAGACTGTCACTTGTGAACCACTTGATAAGGATGGAAAAGATAGAGGCCAACAATCTAGTAGAGATAGAGCACCACTAAGTGGCTCACTACAGAGCTATGATCCTACTAGCACCAGAGAAAGAAGCCTGTCACCACGTTTTAATATGGTAGGTAGAAGAGACGGAGCTAGTCCTCAAGCTATGGTGGAAGACAGAAGCCAGCCAAGGGAGCCACTTCATAATGGTAACTCCACTTAAATCTATGAAGGAATGCTATAGTAGGATCAAAGCTATTATTGGAGGCCACTCGCTCCTACCCAATCCCAACCAAGTATCATCTATGGATTTGTTGTTCTAAAACTGTAGAGGTGCCCGTAATTGAGTGTTTAAGAGAAATTTTAAAGACCTTATGAATAGTCAGACACCTGATATTTGTAGTTCTCATAGAAACCAAAGTCAAACTGGGTACGATGGGTCTGTTCTTCAATAGGCTAGGGCTTACTTCATTTACACAGGTTGATCTCATTGGCAGGAGTGGTGGTATCTGGTTGCTCTGGAATCCTAACCAAACAAATTTTAGAGTCTCACAAGCTAACTCACAAGTGATTACGACAACTATTTCCCACCAAGGTTACCCAAATTGGATCTTATCAGCCGTCTATGTGAGTCCTATTGCTAGTAAGAGGGATGAACTCTGAGCAAATCTGGAAGAGATGTCTCATATAGTTAGGGACCCTTGGCTAGTAGCGGGTGACTTTAATAATTTCAATAATCAAGAGGAGAAAAGAAACTTCCCTATCAATCAGGCCAGAAACCAGAATCTTAGCCAAAGGAGATATATGAAGTTTTCACAACAAATCGGCAATTGTAGCTTAATAGATATTGGGTGTGTCGAACCAAGGCTGACTTGGACGAACAATCGACAAGGATGGTCCAACACAATGGTGAGGTTGGACAAGGCTCTTTGCAACATGGAATGGCGTACTTTATTTTCGAATGGAACTGTACGTAATCTCCCTCGTATCTACTCCGACCACTCTCCACTTATGGTTCTCATGCAAGGTATGCATGTTCCTAATCCATCCCTTAAATCTTTAAGTTTGAAGCTGCTTGGATATCCCATGAGGGATTTCGTTCTGCTGTGGAAAATAATTGGAATGTTCCTCATTTATCCTTTTCTGATGGGCTTAAATCAAAGGCCGATAAAGCTATTGATTGGAATAAACTTGTTTTTGGAAATATTTTTAGATGTAAAAGATGGTTTTTGGGTAGAATTGAAGGGATTCAGAAATCCCAGGCCCTTAATTACTCTCATAATTTACATATGCTGGAGTTAGACCTCATCTCTCAATATAACCGTATTCTCCACCAAAAGGTGATTCATTGGTTCCAGAAATCTAAAACCGACTGGATCTCCCAAGGTGATAGAAACACTAAGTTTTTCCATGTCACTACTCTAATTAAAAGGAAAAGAATTCGTATTGAGATCTTAAAAGATGAGCAGGGAAATTGGATTGACCAACCTCGTGAGCTTAAATGCTTGATCCATAATTATTTTGTCAACCTTTTTAGCCCTTGCAACCCTACCCAACTTCGACACTGGAAGGGTTTGGCTAATTGTACTATTTCCTCTGAGGACAACAGTGAGCTCCTCCGGAATGTCACTAAGGAAGAAGTGTGGAAAGCTATAAAAAACATCAAAGCTTTTAAAGCCCCTAGCATAGATGGGTTGCAAGTCATCTTCTACCATACCTATTAGGACATTATTGGTCCTACTATTTGTAATTTTGTAAGAGATTACTTCCTCAATTGTGTTATTCTAGAGGAGATTAATAAAACCCTCATTGCCTTAATCCCCAAAGTTACTAACTCTAAAACCATCAAACAATTTCAGCCTATTAGCCTTTACAATGTTTCCTATAAACTTATTACCAAAATCCTTGTGAATAGAATCAGACCTCTTTTGAGTAATATCATTCGGCCAAATCAGAGTAGTTTCGTGCCAGGAAGAACCACTAGTGACAATATTATTATCACTCAGGAAGTTATTCACTCTCTTAGATACATGAAAGGAAAAAAAGGGAGTATGATTCTCAAGATTGATCTTGAAAAGGCCTATGACAATATTTCTTGGGATTTTCTGAAACAAACTCTGCAAGAGTTCAAATTTGATAAAAAATTGATTAATCTTATTATGGCTTGTGTTACTTCGGTCCAAACTACCATTCTTTGGAATGGGGAGAAATTGGATGATTTTATGCCTCATAAGGGTCTGAGACAAGGGGATCCTTTATCCCCTTATATGTTTGTTCTGTGAATAAAAAGGCTTTCAAATATAATTAGTTCTAAAGCTGATAGAAAGGAGTAGAAAGACATTAAAATTTCTAAGGGTGGCTCTTGCCTCACCCATTTATTTTTTGCTGATGATTTATTGTTGTTCGCTGCTGCTGATCATTCTAGTTGTGATATTATCAATGATGTCATGAGGGAATTAAATGAGATCTCTGGATTAAAAATCAACCTCCTCAAATCCAAGCTCTTTGTTTCTGCTAATATTAGCCATGATATGGCTAATGATATTAGCTTTATGTGTGGAATTCCCCACAATAAAGTGAATAGAAGTCCCTTTAGAAATAGTCTTGAGAAAATGCATGATAGACTTGCATGGTGGAAAGTTAATACACTTTCTCTTGCTGGAAGGGCTACACTTATCTAGTCGGTCACCTTAGCTATATCGGCATACTCTATGTAGACTTTAGCTCTTCCTAAGAAAGTGTGCACTGAGATTGATAGAATAAACAAAAATTTCCTTTGGGGTTTTACCCCTGAGGAGAAAAAAGTTCATCTTATTAAATGGGATGATGTGTGTAGAAGGAAAAGGTTTGGAGGGTTGGGAATCAAAAAAGAAAAAGATCAAAACCTAGCCCTTTTTACTAAGTTGGGTTGGAAAATTCTGTGTGAGAATGATGGCCTCTAGACTAAGGTTTTGAGGGCCAAATATCTTAAGAAAGAGGGGTTCTATACTTAGAAGAATAAGTAGAAAGCTTCTCATGTATTGGCATTGGTGGTGTGGGGATAAACCGCTCCAGGTTGAAACTCCCATCCACCAGCTTACCAAAAATGACAAGGTAAACTCCCTTTTCACGAATAAAGGAGATTGGGACTTGACTTTGTTAAATAATCTTCCTCCATCTAGTCTTTCGGGTATTTTGACCATTTTCCCTCCAAGAGCAAACCCTGTCCTGATGTCCCTATCCGGAAAGGAAGCTTGGATGGAGAGTTCTCTTCAGTTGATGCTTATGACCTTATCAATGATCAACCTGGTTATGAGGTGGATTAACATTGGATGTGGAAATTTCTTAAAATTTTCTTATAGATTGTGCTCCATGGGAAACTCCCCACTGATAGCTTACATTTGAAAAGGGGTTTAACTAATATTTCTTCTTATTTTAGTTGTTTGGAAATGGAAGATATGAATCATATTTTCAGGGTTTGTCCGAAAGCTATTGTTATTTGGTCCTCTCTTTTTGGAAGGGAGTGGTATAGAGATACCTGGAACAAACCTCTGCTGGAATGGATCGAATTTAACTTTAAAAAAGGGCCACTGCTTATGAACATATCTCCTGGAGTACCTTGTTTGTTGTTTCTCTTTTGAAGATTTGGAAAAACCGCACCACCAAATGGTTTGAAAACAAAGATATCACTAACCAGGAGAGCTTGAAATTTATATTTGATTTTTCTAGAGATATTCACTTGGCATTTATTATTTCTAGTATTTACCCCAAGTTGTCACCACCACTAATTAGATGGTTTCCCCCTTTTGCAGGTACTATTAAGTTAAATACAGATGGATGCACGAGAGGAAGGTCAGGGTATTCTGGGTTTGGTGGGTTATTCCGAGATGGAGTAGGAAGTTGGATAAGAAGGTATTATGGTAGATTAGAAAATTGCTCAAGTTTGGAAGCAGAGCTTTGGACGATGTACAAGGGGCTGACCATTCTTCTCCAGAGGGGTATGACTAAGGTGATTATGGAGACAGATACTACACAAGTCGTTAAGCTGTTGGAAGATGGCTCGAGTGGAGACTGCCCTTCTCAAGGCTTGATAGAAGACGCAAGGATCATCTTAAGAGGATGTGAATGCACAATCCAACATGTCCTGTGTGAGGGGAATTCTTGTGCTGATGCTATGGTGAAGCTTGGTGCGAAGCAACCTGTGGAGCTCCTAGTGGTGAACGATCCCCTAGCTGAAGTGCGCAGCCTCTTTGTGGCTAATATGTTAGGTTTATCTAGGGAGAGGGTGTAGCCCCTTTTGTTTGTTTTTCTTTCTGTCGTACCAAAAAAAAAAACTAAAATTTACTTTTAAAACATATGGTGAATACAAAACTTTGAGAGCTAAAATTTACTTTCAAAAGGAATCATGTACAATATTTGATCATTTAATTAGGTGTTTTTTTAAAAATTGGGTAAATTACAAATACACCACCTGAGGTTTATTTAAAATACGAATTGCCCCCTATGGTTTGAAAAATTACAAATACCTCACTATCATAATTTTTTATTTAAGAAAATTAATTGAAAAAGTAAATTTTCTAACTGTTCACCTATACAATAATAAAATTATCTAAATTATTAATTGAAATAAAATTTTAACATTATTAAAAACTATTAATTAAGATTATGATTTATTAACAAAAGGACCTATTTGTTATGAAATTAGAAATCTTAGGGGGCATAATGTAATTTCTAAAACCACAGGGGGTAATTTATAATTTAAGTAAACCTCAAGGGGTGTGTTTGTAATTTACCCTAAAAAATTTAGTACAAGAATGACTACTTAAGCACATAATAACGAGAGGGAATTATTATTTTTAATTTGATTTATATAAAATATTATTATAATAAAACTCAATGAATTACGATTATAATGATGAAAATTGAATACAACATATAATCAATATAAAGAAACTTTCAAAATCGTAGAGAAAAACTCCAACAAATACACAAGGAATAAAACTCACATGCAAATAGAAAGATTCAAACCATTGACCTCTTAGTGAGTTGAAAGAGTTCTGATAAATTGAAATAGCGAATGGAAAATAAATAGTGGAACTTATTGTGCAACAGATTAATTAGTTAGTTTATTTAGACAATAACATTTAGAAGAAAGTAACGATTTTTTCTGGTAAAATTATGAATATTTGTATCATGTGTTATGCTACTTTGTGATGAAATTATGAATAGTAAATTTATTATGTACATTATAAAGTTAGGAAAGACAAATTTATGACGATTTGTGTTTGGTATTTGCTTCTGTTTTGATCATTTTGTCAGCTCTCTCTATTACATGCCTGGAGTTGAACTTGCTTTAAAAAAAATGCTTTACATATATTGAAAGTAGTGAGGTTTTTGTTGTTCCTTGAAGTAGTTGATTAGAAAATTGTGGAACCTTGCCTTATATATGTGAAAGGGGCAGCAAAACAAATGGCAGATGGTGACGTAAACATGCCAAGGGATGCAAAGAATTGTAAAAACACTGTTAAAATCAATGGGAGTCGATGAGTATAAACCTCGTGTTGTGCACCAATTCCTGAAACTGTGGTATCGTTACGTTCTTTCTGTGATGTGCTAATCCATTTACCTTGTTTTGGGATACTTCATTTTTTTTTAAGATTCTACTCCAATTATTGAAGAGTTGTTTCCCATAAATTTGTATATCAGTGTGGACTTTTCACTTGCAATTTTAGTATGGACTTAATTTCAGTGAGGATTGGGAAGTTTGGGGAAAGTTACCAATTTCCATTTCATGGCTTGTCATTGATAGAGAATTCAGATAACCAATTTTGCACCCACAATTCTAATTTTTCTTGTTATGAAATACGCAATTCTACATACCCTGAAATTTTTACTTAACAAAATCAATGTATGGTCCAAATTCATACAAGATATCATTAGTGATGGGATATTTGGTGTAACTTAATGAATTGTTTATAATTCTTTTTTTAATTTAAAAAAATTGTGTTAGAGCGTTGCATTAATCTTTGACTTACTGAGTATGAGGCAAAAATAAAATAATTAAGATAAAAAATTAATAACTATTGAAATTGGTCCGATTGATTACACTAAATTCTCCTAAATTGGCTTATTTTGACCTTGAATTTTTTACTTTATCTCAAAGTGGTCCAATTGATTAAAATAGTTACATTTTTTTTTAATTAAAAATACGCACATGAGCAATGTGTCAAAAAAAAAAAGATCAAAAAACAAAATACGATGTGTCATGTTCTTAGAAGCAATATCATAAACTTGATCAATTTAGTGACTTAATTTCAACCAATTCAATAATTATTTTCTGTAAAAAATCTTAACAACGTTATCAATTAAGAATAAAAATTGAGCCAATTGAAACTGTAAAGACTAAAATGACATAAGCAACAAAATGTATGGACTATGTGTGTAATTTTCCCTAAAACATATTATTAATGTGACCCTCAAGAGTGAACTTGTATAATTTATGGAAAAGACTATGTGTGTGTACTATATGCACCTTGCCACAAAAGAAGAAATGACATAATTTCATATATTCTGCGGCATAACGAAAAAAAAGAAAGACATAACCCCGACGCCACATGAGGTATAACCAAATATCTCATGAGTTAAACTAAAATAATATCATAACTAAATAACAAAATTTGTCATAACTAAAAAAGAAAATGACATAACTAAGAGTATATATGGTACTACAACCCTTTCAAGGGGT